ACACAGCTCCGAGTGGTATACAAACAAAACACGACTGTGTAGAAAGACAACGAAGTCAAGAAATTGTGGTGGTGCCAAGTGGTGGCAGGCAATGGGATCTGGGGGCAAGGCATCCCCCACCCCCGGGAGCTTGGCAGCCCTACAAGTAGGGCTGGCAAAAGGAAAGAGGTTGGGAAAAGGAAGAGGCTCTGCTCGCCAACTAGTCTAGCTCCCGCTCAGTGCTGCAGACCCACAGTTAGACCACCCCTACCAGATGGCTGTCCAGTCTCTGTTAGCAGACCACCAGTAGGGGAGACCTCACCCCCGGGATAATTTGTTCCATTGGGTCATAAGATAACATTCAGACAGAGTCTGCCCTTTTGTCCTCTGGATCTAGACTTGACTGCTGGAGCAGCAGAGAAGTCTTTGCCCTCTTCTATATGGCCAGGAATGCTCAGACACTTGAAGTCATCAAAACTTGAAGTCATCAAAAGCCGACTCTGATCCTTTTGCTCTGCATCCCACAGAGCTTTCTGGGGGTGGGGTCAGCAGCTGACTCAGCAGTCAGAGCCCCTAGCTATACCTTGTGGCTAATAGCCACTGATGGACCTCTGCTCCATATGCTTATCTAATTCCCTTTTGAAGCCGTCCATGCTTGTAGCACCCACCACTTCCTGTGGCAGTGAATTCCATGTGTTAATCACTCTTTGGGTGAAGAAATACTTCCTTTTATCCGTTCTCCTAACATTCAGACAGAGTCTACCCTTTTGTCCTCTGGATCTAGACTTGACTGCTGGAGCAGCAGCGAAGTCTTTGCCCTCTTCTATATGGCTAGGAATGCTCAGACACTTGAAGTCATCAAAACTTGAAGTCATCAAAAGCCGACTCTGATCCTTTTGCTCTGCATCCCACAGAGCTTTCTGGGGGTGGGGTCAGCAGCTGACTCAGCAGCTTCTGGTCTCCCCCACCCCCCATCCTGGAAACTTTGCTGCCTCCCGGACTTGCTGAGATGCAGCCATCGGAAGCCAAAAGGAGAGAAACCAGCTCTTTCTTCTCTTCCTTTTGTGATGCAAAGCCCAGCTTGGGAGGGGAGGGAGAGAAACGAGCTCTTTCTCAGCCTCTCCTGCTCAACTGAGTGGGGGGGAGGGGAGGGAAGAGCAACGAGCGAGAAACCAGCTCTTTCTTCTCTTCCTTTTGCGATGCAAAGATTGAAAGCATTGTTTTGGTCCTTGCCCAGCTTGGGAGGAGAGGGAAACAGCCTTTTGCAGCCCAGATATCAAAAGCATTGCTCCTCTCCTGCTCAACTGAGTGGGGGGGGGAGGGAAGAGCAACGAGCTCTTTCTCCTCTCCCATTCATACCTTCACAGTGTTTCCTGAAGTGTAGAGGTGGATCAGAACCCGACTACCAGCTGATCTCCTGATCAGCTGTGAGTCGGCTTCTGACAACAGGCACCTGCAAGCACAGTCTGCACCTATTATGCAATGCACCAGGTCATATGAGCATATCCCTGATAGACTCACATTCTGATTGCGATTATCAAACAAGGTAGGTTTAATTCTCGGACAGGTTCATTGAGAAGTTCAGGTATTTGAAGGATGCAATCATCATGACTCTCCTAAGTCTTCTCCGGGCTAAACATACCCAGTCATACCTTTCCTTGTATGTCTTGTTTTGGCCTCATACCAGGTGAGAACACTGGTGTACTCATGGTGTATTCTGATTTGCAGGATCTCCCAGCACTTGAGACCTTTTTACTGGAGAGGGCAAGTGTCAAATGTGGGGCTTTCTACAGGCAAAGCATGCCCTTTGCCATGGAACTGTGGCCCTTTACCCAATGGTTTCAGGGTGAATTGCAGCAGCAACAGCCTACTTGAATTGTCTCAAGGCCAAGGAGTGGTTATATCACTCCGTTGGCTTGTTTCTGTGGTTCTCAAGGAGCTAGTTGCCTGAAGAGGTTATAGCTGTTGTGTAGGAGATGAGCGACCTAGCATGTGTGCAACAATTGGGGATGAAGCATATGTTCCAAAACAAAATGTTTTACGAAAAAGGGGTGGATGCATGTGAAGGTTTTCACAAAAGTGTCCCTTTGCTCAGTTATTGGCCCTTTGTCTAGTGCTGGTGGCCACCCTCTCCACTTCTGCTTGTCGCCATTTTTAATCTCTTTTGGCTGTGCCACAATCAGGGTTGAAAGGCCCATTTGGCCTCATCCATGAAGTCATCATATAATCAGATCTGATGGACTACATGGTATGGCAGCAGGAGAAAGGGTGGTGGTGATGGTGGGAACATGAGGGGTGACCATCAGCAACAGCATGACATCACTTCCAGGAAAACCTGGAAGTGACAACATGCCTTTCTAGGAATTGACGGAAACCCTATGGTAAAACCCGACTGCCATTTTTTAATTTTTCTTCTGGCGCCACTCACAAAAGTTGGAGGCAGAAGATCCCCCACCAGGGAACTGTGAATCCTACTACATGATACCCTCACGAAGCCAAATCAGAGCGAGGCCATTGCTTCCTACTGTGGGATCAGGCAGACATAGAAAAAGCTGAGCAGCACCATGGGTAGTATTGTTACTAGATCTGCCGATAGGCCAGCCACCACTGACAAGATGAATGGCGCTTTGCCCCTGTTCACAGATCCAGCAACCGAAAGAATTGCGAGGGGGGGGGCATCCACTGCAAGTACAGCAGTGGAGATTGGGGCTGTTTCATTTCAGCCTTAATAATAACAGCTTTATTACAGACCTCCAGCGGATGTTGTGCTTCATGACAATCAGTGATATATTTAGAACCATTGCAAGGTTACGTTTGGTATGGATGTGCTTGAGCAAGTGGCAACAGATAGAGGAGGGACCATGGGACTGATGCTGCAGGTGAATGTTCTGCACAGAACTGAAATGGAAGGTCTGTTCTGCTCTGGTATCTTTAGCTGGGCATAAATCCTAAGAAAAAGCCTGCCTCCTGTATCGCTCTCTTCTGTAATTGCCCATTCTAGGGTTGCCAAGTCCATCTTCCACCCCCAGCGGGGGACTTTGGGGGTGTTCCTGGAGGGGGCGGGGCATCCCCGACGTGATGACGTCACATTGGGGACATCCGCCCCCCCCCGCGCACCAGATCTCCAGAAACGGCAGTTCCCTGCACTTAAAGGAGCCGGCGTTTCCCTTTTAAATGCAGGAGCCGGCGTTTCCCCTTTAAGAGCAGCCACATTTCCCTTTTAAGAGCACGAAGGTGGCATTTCCCTGCAAGCTTGTGGAGATCAGGCCTGGGAGGAAACACGGGTTCCACACACTTAAAGGGAGAGAGATGGGTGGCTGAGGGTGTTGGGGGTGGGGCTTCCCCCGCCGGCCATCTGGCCAGCAGCGGGTAGTTAACCCCCCCCCCCCAAAATGGGAGACCCCTGGCAAACCGGGGGGGGGGGTTGGCAACCCTAGCCCATTCCCTTTACCTAAATGACTGTTTTCTATTTTATGCATGTATTTATTCTGAGACTTTCATATCTTGCCTTCCTCCAAAGAGTTCAAGCCAGCTATTATTTTAATGGCCATTAGTTTTAATAATTTGGGTGGCAACTAACTATGATCCTGATGCTCTACAGTAACAGCTGACCTATCTAGTATGTTTTTGAATAGTCAGAGCTCAGGGTGGCTTACACACTTTTCCTTTCTGCATTGGAACCTCATAGCAACCCTGAAAGTAGGTTAAGGTGAGAGTGTGACTATTTGAAGACCACGCATGGCTCAGGCCTAAACTACATTTTACAATTGTTAAGGTGTTGTGTCTAGATTTGGACAGTCACATGTTAGGTGTGGGGGGACTGGTTTCCCAGTTACCCAGGGCCCAAATTTGAATCAGGGCTTGGGGGAATAAAAGGGACTTCAGCCTTCACCACCATGCCATTTTCCCAATCCAAAACTGTCCTAGAGAACAGTATTTGCCACACATGTAGTTCATCAGTACGTCCACAGCTCCACAGTGGGGCAATTACTGCCTCCCCAGGGCTGTTTTGGGTCAGGAAAATGCTGCGTGGGAAAGGCTGAAGTCTGTTCTTCCCTCAAACGACAGCATGATCCAAATTGGGCCCATGGACTCTTGGGAAACAAGTCGGGGGGGGAGGTATTTGTGAATTTCCTGCTTTGTGCAGGGGATTGGACTAGATGACTGTGGAGGTCCCTTCCAACTCTATGATTCCATGATTCTCTAAGTTCCCCCACACCTGACACGTGACTGTCAGAGTATATGTCATGGTGGGGGATCCCATACACAATACATTACAAATTGTGTTTCTGTAGGTGTGCAAAGTGCAGGACTGTCAGAGTATATGTCATGGTGGGGGAACCCATACACAAAAATTGTGTTTCTGTAGGTGTGTAAAGTGCAGTCAAGTCACAGCAGATAGATGGTGACCCTGTCTGGTTTTCAAGGCAAGAGGCTAACAGAGGTGTTTTTGCCATTGCCTGGCTCTACATAGCATCCCTGTATTTCCTTGGTGGTCTCCCATCCGAATACAAACCAGGGCCGACCCTGCTTAGCTTCCATGGTCTGATGAAATCAGGCTAACCTGGGCCATCCAGGTCAGGGCATAACAATTACACAGGATGTGTATTAACCCTGAGTGGGGGATTAGAACCTGAGTCTGAATATCACACTACACAGGCTCTAGCTATGGTTGCCAGACTCCAAGTGGGACCTGGAAATCTCCCAGAATTACAACTGATCCCCAGACAATGGACGGAATTAGACGAAATGGAAGGCTTGAAGGATGGCCTCGGTGGCTTTATACCCCGCTGAGGGGCCTCTCTTCTGAAATCCTGCCCTCCCCAAGTTCCACCCCCAGATCTCTGGAATTTCCCAACCCAAAGTTGGCAACACTGGCTCTAGTAGAGGTTATGTTTAGAAGCGTATCATCAACATTTTGCAAACTATTTGACTGTGGGTGAGGGAAGGAGGGCAATTAGGGAATTATGTAATGGAAAGATGGGAACAACAGGAATCTAAATGTGTGCCTTCTGTTACAGATCACCAGATTAAAAATTGACCGGAATCCATTTGCAAAAGGGTTCAGGGATTCTGGAAGGAACAGGTAAGAAGATCCCTTCAATTTCCCCTTTTGTGTTTTAGGCTACCTCTTCCCTAGTTACCTGCATTGACTTGGGTCCTCCTCACACAACGTGCGTAAAGAGACTCTGCCGCCATCCCCTGGGCTGCCTCTTGGGGCCAGCTTGCTGGTTTCTATGACTCTGCATCCATCTCCAAGGAGTTGGCAGGGATACCAGTTTGGTCTGTGCCAGTCATCTGCTTTGGAGAGGGCGCCAAGGGGGGGACCAGAGCTATCAAAACCAACCGTGCCTTCCACCCACTGTTTGGGGCAGGGGCATTGTTCACACATCCTGGTACACACTGAACATTGTCTATACAGATGGTTGTGTATTTTCTGGGTGCTTTGCAAGGATGACAGAGCTGGGCAGCGTGTGGGCTTCTAACCACAGAAGTTGCCAGGCTATTTTAAGTGGCCTGGGTTTCGGGAGATAATACTGCTCAGGTTCCCCCAGCATGGTCAGCTTTGTTCTTTCAGTTTTGAATAGTACTGTGTGATGGTGATGATGATGAATTGTCACAGTCAGATATTTGACTGGTAGATGGTGCTCTGCAAATCAAGATCTAGCCAAGTTCTTGGGAATTGCAGAGGTATCTTCACAGGATTCTTGCCGTTCCAGGCAACACTGTCTTCTGGAGCTGAGCTGGTGTTATTTGCTCAGTGCCCAAAATGTCCAGATGTTCCTTAAGACTTCTAGGCACTGTTCCAAGGACTCCAATGACAGCTGGCACGATGGTCACCTTCTTGTCCCAGAGATGCTCTGACTCTGTTCATAGGTCTTGGTACTTGTGATCTTCTCCTGTTCTTTCTTTTCTATTCTGCTTTCTCCTGAGACTGATGATAATGATGATTGTCACTATCAGATATTTGACTGATAGAGGGTGTTCTGCAATTTGAAATCTAGCCAAGTTGTTGTTGTTGATGATGATGATGATGATTCTGCCCTTATAAGGACTGCCAAGGAGCTAACAATTTAAAAAAGACAGGATAAAATTACATTACAGAACCATTAAAATCAACCCCCCACTATTTGTAAAACAGTTAAAAAGCAGACTTAAAATACATGCAAAACAGTTAAAATACATGTCGTAGAAAGTGCCATCAACTCATAGCTGACTTATGGTGACCCCATTGGGTTTTCAAGGCAATAGACATTCAGAGGTGTTTTCCCATTGCCTGTCTCGGTGTCATGGTCCTGGTATTCCTTGAAGGTCCCCCATCCAAATACTAGCCAGGACCAACCCTGCTGAGCTTCCAAGATCTGATGAAATTGGACTAACCTGGGCTATCCACGTTCTAGATACAAAATATAAGAACATACAAAACATAAAAACATTAAGTTAGGAAGAAGGGATCAGTAAAGGTTAGGGATGGGCGTGAACCAAACCACGAAGAAAAATCTGTGATGAATTTTGCCTTATTCGTAGTTCGCAAACGGAAGTTCATGATGGGTCTACCATCATGACATTCCATGAAATTTTAGAGCAGTTTGTGTGGTTCATGGTGGCTTTTGGATGGAGCAGAAAGCAGGGGCATAAAGGGACTCTTGAGTCTGCAAAGCGACAGGAAGAGCTCAGATGCAAGGAGCAGTCTCCCCGTGTCTCAGCTGTTTCCCCTGCTTCTTCTGCAGTCCTTTTAAACCAGCCTGGTTTAAAGAGACTGCAGAAGAAATCAGGAAAAACACCCAAGCTGTCTTTGCGGACCTTCCCAGTTCCCGAAAATATCCAGGATTTTTTCAGGATTTTTTTGTTCCCCCCCCCAAAAAGCCTAGATACTTTTGGGATGCTGAAATATACATGAAAATATTGAGAAGGAATTTTTTGGGTATATTTTCAGCTTGGGCAGATCTGAAAGTTTTTAAAGTGACTGCACAAGACAGCCTGAAACAGCTGAGCGGAGGGGAGCAAGCTTCTTCTAGTTGCTCAGCTGTTTTTCGGGCTTTCTGCAGTAGTTCAGCAGTTCGAGACCCGAGTGTGCCGCATGACGGAGGGAGCTCCCCTCTCTAGTTCCAGCTCCTGCCAACCTAGCAGTTCGAAAGCAAGAAATTGCAAGTAGATAAATAGGTACCACTTAGGTGGGAAGGTAACAGCGTTCCGTGTGTCTTGGTGTTTAGTCATGCCGGCCACATGACCACGGAAACATCTTCGGACAGCGCTGGCTCTTCGGCTTTGAAACGGAGATGAGCACTGCAACTCTAGAGTCGGATTCGACTGGCTTTCGAGCAAGGGAACCTTTACCTTTACAGTTGCCAACTCTGTCGGCAAAGTGTGCCTCGCCCATGGTGGCGCTTGACTCGAAGCTCAGCCATGCAGGGGTGGGGCCAGTGGGGTCAAAGCATGGAGCTCAGTGGGTCCGAGTGATCCAGGGACAGGGCTGAGAGCAAAAGTAGGCAGACCGGGGCTGCAGACAGACTGGCAGGTGGGAGCGATATGGCGCCACCTCTCATTGTTGCGCTCTGAAGTATTGTGGGGCATATCAACCAGACAGCACACCCTGCTGCAGGTCACCCGCACGGCCGTCCTGTGGGCATGCATCCACATTACTTCAGCGCCCCAGCCACAGACCGTGCTGCCTGGTCGTTTTTTAAGAAATGAAGGCAGGTGCATGTACACATGCTCATATAGGCAGACACTACAAAAACCAACAACCAGTGGTATAGATGGATCTGCAGGTTCAGGCTGCAAATCCATTCTGCATGCACTCCCTGACATTCAGACATCTGGTCACGTGCGATGAATGTGCAGGGAAACCGAAAACACCACATGTGATGTTGTGTCTATTTACTCCGTTTCCAACTTCTCATATGATGGCGTGAGTATGACTGGGGAATGGCTGACACATGGGGCCTTGTGAGCCTGCCAGTTTAATCCGTTAGAGCAGTGGTTCTCAACCTTCCAAATACAGTCCCTCATGTTGTGGTGACCCCCAACCATAAAATTATTTTCGTTGCTATCATAAGACCATCGAAAATTTGTGTTTTCCGATGGTCTTAGGCGACCCCTGTGAAAGGGTCGTTTGACCCCCAAAGGGGCCGCGGCCCACAGGTTGAGAACCACTGCGTTAGAGGAATACAGCTATATCGGGGCAAACTGCCAGTCTGAACACAGTCCACATCTCCTAATACAATATTAAAACCATAGAGATTTGGGAGGTTGCTAGAGTGTCTCTATGGTTCATGATGTCACTTCTGGTTATGAGACCAGAAGTGACATCACGGTGTCATGTGACACCATTCAGTGCCTAATGGCACCCCACCCAAACTCCTGAGCATTGACAACTCCAATCAAAGCCAACAGAAACTGCTCATTCATCTGAAGTGCCTAGATCTCTCTCTCATCTGAGGAGCTATCAGGGAAGCAGAATGTTACCTTAAACTTGCTGCAGTGTTTAGAGAAGCTGCCTTTGATGCACAGGAAGGCCTGTGTTGAAAATGAAAGTTAGAACTGGCTGCAGGCCCGCTGTTGCAAAAGTTGTAAAGGTGCAGTTCAGCAAATGCCCTCACTGCATAAAGGCACTAAACAGTTAAAACAGGGCTTCTCTACAGTTCCCCTCATTATATGGATATAAAAGACCTCATCGGCTATGGACGAGAAGTGGAGGAGAAAACAGTCATGCCAGTGGAAAACTAGCCAGTTGTCAACCCTCTAATCAGTCACAGAGTGGGAGCTGGGTGAGGAAGACCCCATCCGTAGTCTGGATCTCCGGCACCAGTGAGATCATTGCCACCCACCAGAGCCTGCGACTGGGAGGCCAAGTTGAACCCACACCAGAGCCATTGAATTTTCCAGACATCTGAGAAAGCAATCTAGTCAAGGTCAGAGTATTGCTAGAGCGGCCCAAGAAAGTCCTCCCCTTCCCTAATGAAACTGAAGGCGCCGGGGCCTCCGGAAAGATGTGGTCGGTTCAAGGGACTCATTTGTGTTGCGAGAACTTGCGAAGGGCCAAGGATGCGATTTGCACAAATGGATGAATCACATGCAGGGGTTTTGAGATGGCTGTGAACGAGAACGGACCCCCAACCATGGGCTTGGCTGGCTGAGCTCAGGCGCAGCTGAACGAGACTTCCACAAGGTCTTGTGCAACTGGACATGCTCCTGAAGGGGCTGGGAGTCATGGAAACTTGTGGCTCATTAACGCGAGGCAGGGCAGGATGTTACCACACGGTTGCGGCCGCGGAGAGCTCAGCGGAGCTTTCTGCTGATGTCAAGCAGAACTAGAATCTTTAAGGCATCACGCATCAAAGAGAGCAGCCGGGGCTTTGAGGCAGGGGAGCCGCACAAAAGGCTTTCCGAGCACGTCTAGTAGGAGGGTGGCTGCCGTGTTAACGAAGGCTCTGCCAGGATTTTGCTGCTGTGCTCAGCGAATGAGACGGCATAATTCTCAGAGGCATTCCCCCAAATAAATCATATACCATATGCACCAGTGTGGAGGGGCTGAGAGTAAAAGGCAGCAGCAGGGTCAGAACAAAGCTGACCCCAAAGAAGAGCCTCAGGTTGCCAACTCTGGCCCAGGAAATTCCTGGAGATTTGGGATTGGTGCCATGGAGGAGGGGGGTTGGGAAGGGATTTCATCTAGAATCTATGGTATACCAGAGTTCCTTGCAGGGGAACTGATCTCTGTATTCTGGAGATCAGTTAGGGTCGCCAGACCCCTGGTTGGGGCAGGGGTTCCCCCAATTTTGGGGGCTTCAAACCACCGCCAGCCTCTTCCCATGTTGATGTCGTCTGTGTGATGACGTCACCTGGAAGTGACATAATCACACTGGGCACATCACGTATCAACGCTCTAGCATTTTGGCCAACACTCTATGATTACCATAGAGGTTTTGGCCAAAATGCTAGATGCATGGCGTGCATCAAAAGCACTGATGCATGGCGTGCCCGGCATGATGATGTCAGTTCTGGGTGAAATTCCAGGACAGACCCAGGAACCCTCCATTAAAAGCCAGGTAAAACAAAAGAAACACTCTATGATCAAGTGGTTAA